TATACAACATATTAAACAGAGCCAATAAGGAAGATAGGCTAGAGGCAAAGCCAGTATGTGGTCGACCCTGCAAAATTTCTGACAGAGATAAGCGAAAAATTCTGAGAAAAATTGAGAAAAATCCACAAATTTCGCTTAGGGATATTGCTCAGGAGTTCAAGGAAGAAAGTGGTGTTGATGTGTCACATGAAACTGTCCGAAAATTACTGAATTCCAATGACTACACATCACGAGTTGCCAGGAAAAAACCTCTACTATCGGCGGCGAATATTTTGAAGCGGCTATCGTTCGCTCAAGTCCATGTAAATAGTTCGAACGATTTTTGGAGTAACGTCATATTCTGTGACGAAAGCAAGATGATGCTATTCTACAACGATGGGCCATCCAGAGTCTGGAGAAAGCCACTAACAGCGTTGGAAAACCGCAATATTATTCCAACCGTTAAATTCGGAAAACTATCAGTGATGGTGTGGGGGTGTATTTCGAGCAAGGGTGTAGGAGATTTGACCTTCATTGAGAATACCATGGATGCTAGACAATATCTGAGCATTTTACAGACACATCTCGTCAGTAGTGCACAGAAATTTGGATTCTATGAGGACAATAAGCCAATTTTTAAATTTTACCAGGACAATGACCCGAAGCATAAAGCTCATATGGTAAGAGTTTGGCTGTTGTACAACTGTGGAAAGGTGTTAGACACTCCACCACAAAGTCCAGATATGAATCCAATAGAAAATGTGTGGTCATATTTGAAAAAAAAAGTCGCAAAGCGGAGTCCAAAATCAAAAACTGATTTAAAAGCTGCTGTACTGGAAGAATGGCAGAAGATTCCAGAAACATACATACAAAACCTTATTGTTTCAATGAAACGGCGATTGCAGGCTGTATGTGACGCTAATGGCAGCCACACAAAGTATTAAAAAAAAATATTCCTGTTTTTTTAACATTGTTATTTAGTAATAAAGTTTCGTGTAAAAACACTTTATTGACAGCATAAAATTTGAATGTTTTTAGTTTTTTAATTTTATAAAATGTTTGGGTAATGTTATTTAACAATTCTTTTTGCCATTAAGTTCTAGGAAAAATATAGAATCGAAATAAATTAGAATTGAAAAAAAATTCTCACTTTTAGGTACATTTATTTTCAACTAAACCCAAAAAATTAGTTTTTTTTCGTTAGTCAAAACACTTTATTGACATACTGTATTTTAATGTATTTAAATTAATGACTAAATTGATTTATTATTTTGAACAACTCTACCAACATATTGAGGACTTACTTGTACGGTTCTGGGCTGGCATGTAACTCATCTTGGTGATTTAGGCGATTTACACCACACCTAAAAAGACAAAAAATGTACATATTATATTATTAGATATACTTAACGATGCATTAACAAATAAAAAACTTTAATACAAAACACCCAAATGTCTGTAACAGTACGCGGTTTCAGTTTTGTATGTTTTCAAGCGTTTAAAAACTTTAGAAAAGTATAGAAACCGCGTGTAGAAGATATAAATTGTTTGCAATAAATACGATTCTGTACTTTTCTGTTTCGGCCCGTAAATCTCCAGTCTGACCGGCTTGCTACCTGCTGATGATCATCATCATTTGTGTACATATGTGTGTAAGCTATGCTACATACATATTAATATGCTTAATCGTCTCTGTGGCAGAGCTTTCATTCACAGTTCCAGAAAACATAACTAGTTGTTTATGTAGACATAGGTATGTATGTGTTTGTCAATGTACACTAACACTGCCACACTATTCAGTTAAAAACTTAACGTAAGAGCTGCTGAGTCAAATTTGAGAAGAAAACGTGAGATGAGACACTAACTCCCTCAACTCACTTATACTCTCTCACAAAAGCAGGTAACACGAGTATCGTTGCTCACCCGTATTGTATCAACTATATGTGTGTATACATATACACACGCATGCAGACACACACACACACACTCATACATATGTATGTATTTACGAACAAACATGTATTTCCGTTTCGAGACGTTGCGGTGCAAACAAAATATGCTAAGGTGCATACTTAAGATGGTATGTATGTACGTATGTATGCATGCATGTACGCACGTATGTATGCGTGTATGCATGTAGGGCAACCAAAGTAGTTTTTGATAGATTACCTGCAAAGCGAAGAGCAAAGCTAAAAACCTGACGTAATTTAAATCACGCAAGTAACTTGAACAGACTTTAATTAACTTCAACTTCTTATTTTCTTTTAATCATGCACAGAGAAAAAAATATTAAAAAAAAAAATTATTCGTAGTTTTCTTTTCACTGTTTTGCTTTTTCTTTTTGCTTGTGGCAAGCCTTGTACTGGTTCTTGGCAACGCAGCGAACGACCAGCACCGAACGAAACAGACAAGTGACTGGAAAACGGTGAGAACGACGCCGTAGCGGCCGCGGTGCACGAACATACATACACACATTGTGCAGCGAGAGTGAGCGAGAAGTATCGGGAAAGAGAGAGAGAGAGAGCATGTGTGTAAATAAGTACACAAGAGACAAACTCCAATGCAGCTTAACAGTGTTGCCATATGCTGCGATACTAAATGGTAATAAAGTGATCATTTTTCATGGAAATGGATTCCCGCTTTGGGTTTTTCTATTACTTTCAGCAATTTTAATAGACATATGTATGTACATACATACATCTCACTGGGAAAGTGCACTAGCACACCAATTTCTGCATACTTTGCTGTATATATATATATGTACATAAGTATGTTTTATGCTGCGCAGAAAACTGCCAGCTCCCTGCCAGCACACATACATATGTATGTCATACATACAACATAAATATATATAGATTTCTTCATTCAATCGAGTATTTATGAATTAATAATAAATAATGAATGCATAACTCGCTGGCGTTGTTTATGTTTATAACTATTTAAACATAGAGAACGCATACAAACATACATTTGCAACTAACAGTTTTTATGGTTGTATGTGTGAATCTACCACTCCCCCGCTGGTGGCTTGATTCCCATAAACGAAGGCAGCTTTCTTACGTTTCTTTTTACACTAGTTTTTTTTCCAACATAAAGCTTCTTTATTTTCGAAGGAAAATCGAAGTTTTGGATACAAATTATTCAACTTCAATAACTTACCGCGTTAATAAGAATTTAAACTGCTTTAAAGCAGGCTTTATTTATTTTCTAGCACTGAAATACACGAAAATTACAAAATATTTTCCAGCAAAAACTAAGTATGTGTGTATATGGCAAAGACCTGCAATACTTTGAACGATACTATCGGACGATTGATTTAGTTATCGCAAAACTTTTACTCAGAATCGATTATTAAATGAATGTACTCGATAGAAACATATGTATATATTTAAAGTATATTTAAATTTAGTTTTTGTAAATTTTTATTTTGACAACGACCTATTCAGGGCTGTGCAAATACTTAGTTATGTTAGTATATTTATAATTTTTTTTTACTAAGAGGAACACTTGCTAATAGCAAACATTGCAGCCTATATATATGTACGCATATATGTTTGTATGTCATGTGCATGTCAACAAGCAGCATACTTACAAGTGAATAATTTATAGATTACACGTCACACAAATATGTTATAGTTGTATATGGATTACTCACCACGTCAATTATAATAAAGTCTGCTGACAAGCAGGGTTTATAAAAAAGTCTGCATACACCTCACAATAAAAGTCTTAACACAAGTTTCTTACAGACACAAACACTACTTGTATATGCTAGGGATGGTTCCCATAAAACTATCGATGTCGACCATCAACAATATGAATATCGACAAATCGAACAGTGGGCAAATCAAAATGACGTTGATGAACAGTAGGAATATTTCTTTGGCAAAAAAAAATCATATTACAGTCTTTTTATTACTGGGAATTCGACATATTTTCTCTTTGGAAGCTAACTTAGGTTAATGATCCGCTTAAGTTGTATTTTGGGTGGATTCGTTTGCATTTGCTGTACTCATATTTGCCTTTAAAAACTTTATGAACGCATCTCGATGACGTTCCATCCCAAAGAATAGATAGAACTGCGAAAATCCGAAATATGCAATAATAGCAAACACAGCCACTGCAATAGCCAAACTGCTTATGCATGCCAGAAATATCATGAGGATGACAGTCAGCAATGTGCCTGTAATTGTAACGAAATGATATTATTTGCTTCTAAACAATTGCCAAGTTATTATCTATCAAATACCTTCCAGTACAAGAATACCAGTAAAAGTGATTGCCAAGGTTATAATGCCAAAGCCAAAAATTATAATCAAAGGTAATAGGAACACAAAACTGGCGGCCAGCAAACAGATGGCAATGTCTGGATGTTGGACACACCAGGAAGCCGCAGCTTCAAACAGCTCATTTCCGCCCAGCTCGCACATTATGAAGTAGGCGATGCGGCGTCCCTGCAGCCCTGCATCGATTTAATAAAGAAGGATTAGGTTTATACACACATAAGGCCATCTAAATGTTTTGCTTACACAGTTTTTGCAGGGCTTGGAATATGCCATCTAACAGTTGTTCCAGATTGAGAGAGGGCGAGCCCTTGTTGATGTCTTCCTTAGGATTAGTTTGGGCGCTGGCGTGCGAGTCCGTGGCTCTGTCACGGGACGCGGATGTCTTTGTTTGTGTCTGTTAATGAAATAATATATTGAAATCAACGATAATGAAGAGAATTGAAAAACATGAACTTCGATTGTTCCATTTCATTCGACTGTTATTTTCATGCCTACCATATTCATGCGGTGTGGCGTACTGTGTTTATAAATCTTTAGTCGCACTTATGTCCATTTTATAATTTATATATTTTAACAAACAATTCTGGCAAGAACAGCATAAAAAGTAAACATTTGCAAAGTGAGCTGCCAACTTGTTGCAAGTTGCAGCGTTGCCAGCATTTGAATTTTTTAATTGTGGAAATGTGCAATAAAGTGCTATAATTATTAGACCTGGTCAATGTACAACAAAACACGTTCATTAGACAATTATTTGCAAGTAAATTGCAGTTTTATTTGTACATGGTACATATTGCTAAGTGTACACATTTTAATGTAGTATGAATTGTAAACCATTGTACGGCGGCCGTTCAGTAATTCGCCCTGCTATAATTTGTTCGCCGTGTATAGTCATACGGCAGCGCCGCTTTGGTGCATGTAAACAATTTAAATAGGTGGCAGCCTCTCGGCACTGTAGCGGTATCCAGCCATACATCTGTGATTCCAGTAACGGATAATCCGGTGGCGAATTGAACAGCCGGTGACGTTGCGCCTGCGCCTTTGAAATCGAATGCTGCTCGTATTTGGCGTAAAATTTGGAAGTGATTGGATATACTGTAAGAGCAATAAATAAACACAAAACCTCTAAGCATATATGAAGTAATGGTTAAAAAAAAAAAAAACAAAAACAAAAAAAGAACCAGAAACGGAACCGATTTTGAAGTCTTGCTCGGCAACGGATGAGAAAGAGAAAGCAAGAGTTTTTATACTCTTTTATTTGAATGAAAACGCATTCTATTTGTATTTTTGTACGTTCTCTCATTCTCATTCGTCTGACCGAAGCAGACAAACTGATACGATCAAACGTAACGGTAGTTTCTAAATGAACTGGGACACACACACACATGCACACATACCTTTGCTTGGGGGCCCAAACACATCAGAGATGCGTATGTGTTGATTGGACTTGCTAATTAACTCCTTTTCGAATGCGTAGGGCATTGGACGTGGATCACCTTCGAAGTGATCGTTCTTCTGGCCATCGCCATCCTCGTCGGCGTCCCCTTTCGCCAGTGCTGCATTTGGCTTCATGCCGCTTGGCCAGGACAACGTCTGTGGCGCGTAGCGTGCCGGCTACGTCTGATTGGGATTTGTGCTACAAGGACGCCTACCTGTCTTTTCATTTATAAAACTTGAACTCATTAAACTTTTGCCATTGCTATTATTGTTGTTCTTTGTACTTGCTTCTGTTATTACTGCACCCCATGACAGCCAATTTCGCCATTGTACACACGCACCCACACACACACACATATACATGTTTGCACACTTACACTCATACACAAGCAAACGCATACAAATGGCAGCCGGCAACAGCGGCGTGACCTACATAAACACACACACACACACACACAGGTACAGAAACGCCAACGTCACCAGCCGCGTTACCATTTATTATTTGCAACGGGGACAAAGCTGATCATCATCATCATCATCGTAATTATCATTAGCGTTATCCGTGACTGCAAAAAGTTTTCCCTTTCGCTTATTTCACGTCATTTGTGTCGTTACGTTTCCGCAAGTAAAACCGAACCGAACCCTTGAAGTATGCAGCAATTTCCGAAAATAAAAACATTGGAACAAGTGAAAGTGTTCCAGTGGAGCGTGCCCGACTATATGTTATCCTGTAGCCTGACATACGCGCGTCTCAATCTACAGGTCATCTTATTGATGGAGCATTTACTTTTAAGCTAAACAGAAAGAGAGAGAGAGAGCGAGATGGATGCATTTACTTTTAAGCTAAACAGAAAGAAAGAGAGAGAAAGAGAGAAAGCGAGATAGTGGCCAGCTGATGACACTTAATTGGCAGCAAGATTGTATTAATAACACAATATCTTTAAAATATTTCATTTATATTTAAAGCCAGGTTAAGTTAAACAAAAGAGTACGCTATGAAAATCACATAGAAGGGCGCTTTGTAGAATACATTAAGTGTGGGGATAAGATAAAAGAATATATGAGCGCTTCCAGTAAGCTAAACGACTTTAGTTAATCTAATATGTTTACTAGTTTTACAATTATATTCCACTCAAAGCGTTTAAAATATTTTACAAGTTTTTATTGTATTGTTGTCCACGTGTACATTTCAATATAAATATAATAAAATAACATTTATAGTCCTATCTTAATTAAAGAAAAGAAAAAAGTAAGTTTTGCTACATTTCTATGAATTTCAACTTTCCTTGAGTCCATGAAAATCGCATAGAAGGGCGATATTTAAATAATGCGTTTGCCGCGTAAAGGAGACTTATGTGAATTTGGTCAGCGAGAAGAGTAGCGAGAAATATTCAAGTTTGTTGCTCGACCAACTTAGCTTATCGCTCAGCACACGAATAGTTCACCTTCTGCTTTCAGATGACCTTTCGTACAGGGTATAATAAATGCGATTGCGTGCCGCCGCAGCTGAAGCTGAAACGGAATCAGTAGCCGCGGCCACGAGGAGCTGGCGCAGGCCGTTTCGATTGAATTGTGCAATCCTTTGTATTCTCGTATCGCTCGCAATAATCGCAAGCATTAAATACACCAATTTAATCAGGCAGAAAGTCAACAGTCAATCAAATTAATTACAACCCAAAAAAAAAATAAATAAAAACAAACAACACGCACACAGACCAAAGAAACCAATACACACAAATACACACGCATGCTGACAACCACACACACACACACACACACGGACTACACACACACACACACACGGACTACACACACACACGGACTACACACACACACACGGACTACACACACACACGGACTACACACACACACGGACTACACACACGACACACACACGGACTACACACACACACACGGACTACACACACACACGGACTACACACACACTGACTACACACACACACGGACTACACACACACACGGACTACACACACACACGGACCACACACACACACGGACTACACACACGCACGAAGAAGCACGCACACTTGAAAATCTATCGCTGTGTTGAGTATAGTGGCATTTACATAAGTGTTAATAAATTACATAATCGCATAAACAAATTGATTTGTTGGCAACCACACAACAATTGCGAATCCGCCTAAGCTTATATACTATGCATATATATATATATATATATATATATATATGTATATATATCTAAATATCTACAGATCAGTCATGCGGCCAGCTCAGATCGCCTCCGGATAGTGTTCACGATAGGCGAACGCCTCAATGTACTCCGGGCGGCGACAGCTGAACAGCTCATAGGACAATTGCTTGTGGGCATGTTTTTCGAGAGATTGGCGCGTCTTCTCCAGGAGCACGTCCTCATCAAATTTGATCCGTTGCACGGTTGTTTTGCGCAAAATGTTTTGCACCAGCTGTGACCAAACGGAACCCTCATCCGGCTGCTGCTGCGTCGGCGGCGCCGGCGGCTGCTGCTGCTGCGTCGGCGGCTGCTGTTGTTTCTGTGCCGTTGACAAGTCTGGTGTTGCGGTGGGCGGGGAGCTAATTGCCAGCGGCTGCATCGGTGCCGGCACCGACGTCGTCGTTTCAGTCTTGGGCGCATTCAGATCCTGCATGATCGTCTGCAGCCGATCGACCGTCTCGGACATGCGCTTGCGAAAGTCCACAATGCGCCGCGTATATTTGAAGAGTTCCCGCTGCTCGGCCGGCTGCAGCTCGACCACGTGCAGGGTGCCCAATTCGTCGGCATTGAGCAGCGGCTGAAAGTGCAGAGTTTGCGCCTCATTGGTGCCCATTAGATAGACACGATGCACAAACTGCTGCATGGCCGTTGTGTTCATCATGGCCAGCTCGTAGTCCAGCCGCGCCGCGTTTATGGCATTGCGTATCAGCTCCACGTCGCTATCGTTGGCCTGGCGACTGAGTGTACCATTGTAGGAGAACTGCGGCTGCAGCTGCTCGAAATGATCGAGCGTGTCCAGTATATTGGATAAATAGTTGCGCATCATATCGCTGTCGGGCTGTATGTTGAGCAGGCCCAAGCGCCGGATTAGTCGTATGTTGACCGCATACTGTTGTTCCAGCTCGAAGAGCTGCCACAGCGAGCGCATCCGGCTCTCGTACTCCTTTTGGGCGGCAACGCCCAGCACGCTGCTAATGTTGCCATCGAAAAGCTGTAAGCCACGGATGAAGGCCACGTCCATTGTGTAGTTGCCCATAAAGTTGAGCACATAGCTGAGCGTGTCCTCGGCATTGGCGAAATGCTCGCGACGCTGCCCAAAGAACACATCTAGATCGCTGACGGTCAGCTGATTGCGTGCCACCATGCTGGTCTGTTCTGTTCGATTGTATTCGCGCTCCTCGCGTATGCGCTCGAAATTGCTAACCAGGACATCCGCCGCTGGCTGCTGGAACTCATCGAACACCTCAATGTCCACGGCCATGGTTGCGCTGGGCCGGTCATGGCTATTTTGTGAGCTGCCCGGCTCGTGAGACGACTCAAAGTTGGCGTCACCTTTGCTCGGCTGACACTGCGGCTTCCATTTCGCCTGCTTGGCCACACGCTGTTTGCTGGTGCGCTCGAAGAGCGCCCTGGACGTAAAGCTGGGCAGGTCAAGCATCGTGAAGATGTCTTCTTTGTAATTGTGGCAACAGTGCAGAGCCGACATATCCATGGGATGTGCCTCGGTATTGAAGATATAGGCGCCTGCCTGCACCACGCACACGTTCTCCTCGCTGTCCAGCAGCTCGCCATGTCTGTCTTCGCCATCGTTGTGCAGAAAGTTATCCTCATCGAACAACAGATATAGATATTTGGTCGTCTCGGCCAGAAAGAATGACTCCATGCGATTCTCCTTCTCGTGGGTCACCACATTGCGTATCTGTTGGGTATGGCAAGAATGAGTTAATCTCTGGAAAGCCTTAATCTCAATTAAAGCAAGCATTACTCACCGTCGCATAGCCGCACTTGGTTTTGGCACTGAACTCAATGGTCTCCAGCATATGTTCGCCAAGCTCGAGCAGATATTGGTTTTTGGTTGCCCGATAGAGGTACATGGCCGACTCGATGAGCTCCGGGCGCAGTGGATAGACCTCACGATTGGGTGACGCTTCGCCGGCTGGAATGTTAAAGAATTCGGGCAGAAAGCCATATTTCTTCCACACGCTTATGTAGCGTGTCATGGTGCGCATGGCGGGTTCCGTGTCGCCCACAATGCTCAGTATGCCTGGCCAGAAGGACTCGAGCGATTGGAAGACGGGCAGCGTCACATGACCCTTGTTCATGCCCACCCAGACATACCAGTCATCCTTGCGCATATACTTGTCAATGGGCGCACGCGCCTCGGCAAACAGCTCCAACAGTTCCGGGCGGTTAAGTAAGATGGCGCCCTTGACCAGATACTCAAACAAGGAATCGACGCCGGCGCCAATACCCGAGTCCAGTGCCGTCCAGCGTCCGCTCTGCACATCAATGTGATTACCAAATAGACCAATTGAGGATCGACGCTCCCAGAGCGCATAAATGGCCTGCAGCGCCACCTCTTCGTATATGCTCTTCCCAGTGAGCCGGCTGAGCGTGCCAAACTCAACCAGAAAGGTGCCCACACCTGCCGTGCATGTGATTGATGTCTCTCCGCTGGGCACACCGTAGCGCAGGTTGACGGTGCCATATGGCATGCCCGTGTTCGTATCAAAGGCTGGCAACAGTCGCCGGGCCACATCCTCGGCCATACGCAAAAGCGGCCCACTGCATGGCCAGCCGGGCTCCACATCGACGCCGGCGCGACGCGATAGCAGATGCGCCGAGAGCAGCCCGCCAACAATGCGTATATTCGTCTCGAACACCGACACATTGATGTCCCTATTGAAGTTCATCTTCTCAATGAGAAGCGTATGCACGCGACGAAACTCCGAGAAATTGCCCATGGTCGCCAGTGTGTCCAGTGCATCGATCAGCGTCAGCGAATAGCTGCCCCACGTATCGTGGCCATCGCAAGTGAGCGGGCGCAGCTCGTCATAGTTGGCGGCGTATTTAAGATAGCCATCGTAGGCGTGCTGAAACATGCGGCGTACATCCTCACTGAATCGTCATAAGGATTAACATTATTGCCGATGCCGCATTTATAAATATTGAGCGCAAATCTTACCGCAGCTCCAATTTGCGTGTACGTGAGTAGTGCTTTTGCCCGACTACCAGCTGGCCCAGGCTGAGTAGAGTACACAGGGTGCCGATGATGTACAGGCTTTTACAAACTTTTTGCATATTTCAACAGCTTGTTGCGTTCAGTCCATGCGTTCCTAATTAAATTACGAGCATTGTTAAGTCCACATAGCCAGCAGAAGCAACGAGTGCGAATTGCGGTTCTG